GCTCAAAGGTTTGATTGAGGAATAGATAGGAGTTTTATTACACTGACACTTATAACTGATTTTAGCCAATAGTTTTAATATCATAAGTCTCTGCAGAGGCCAGCGTTGTGAACTAATGGTTAATATATCTTTTTAATAATAATATATATCTTTTATTTGGTAAATAATATCACCTTGATGAATTATGTGTGATCTAAACACATGTCAAGTTATACATCCCTTTTGCATCATATTTCTCATATCGGGATTCAATCTCTTCTTCATCGCCGGAAAGGGAAAGACAATCAAAACTATAATCCAATACACGTTTCGCGTGATAGCAATCGTACGCATAATATATGGCTTTTATAACACCATTCCGTTTATCACACAATCGTTGCCAACAAATCTGTTCCGGATCTTAATCCTCGCAAAACTGATCCTTATTTCCGTCACTTATGGCTACTTTGCTATCAAAGAGACACAAATCAAGTCAACGATTGTTAGCGTTGCCAACGACTTATCCGACGGACAACTGGTGGCCGCCAAACGGTTCGCGTATGTCATGGCTATTATATGGCTCTCATTCATAGCCACACACATTGTATCCCTGTTTATACAATACCGTAATGGTATCTTGTTAACGATCATCATGGAATCACTCTGGACATTCTACTTATTTGGCTGGATGATCGTAACACCACTGCTGGTCACCCTAGTTTGCTACATGGTTTACCTACTGGAAAGAGATTTACCAGCGCGATCGTTGGTAATCACCAAGCTAAATTGCGAAAAACTGGAACAAAGTATCACGCAAATACAAAAGCACCGGGAGGCAATCAATATCACTTTTGGCATATTCCCATTCGTGTGGATTACATCAGTATTTTTTACCACGTGTTCTCGACTCACGTTTATCGTGGTCAATGACAGGCATAATGTAATCTATCACAACCTGCTTGAATACGCGATGTTGGTGATGGTCAATTTGATTTACTTGTTTGCCATCCATTACTTTCAAACCTATAGACCGACAGTTAATGAATTGCTGTTGTCTTACGGGAAGAGCTATTCATCGATGGACTCGAGAGAACTGATGGTCAGGAATATTGTCAATGAAAGTCTGAAGCGATGGTCCGACAGTCAGTACATGGCTTTCAACGCATTTGCCATTGATATGAAGTTTTTGTTCACATTTATCGGTTCTGTCATCACTTTTACCGTTATGTTAATTCAAGTTTTAAATGCAAAATAATCTAGTTGCTTTTAGATTTCTATTCATTTAAATTTATAATTTTTATTTTTTGGTTTGACATAATAAACATATAAATATGGCTATATTAATACAATTGTTTATTGTGCAGTTTAATATAATTTAATGATTTATCTATGCTTAATTATTTTGTTGCTACAGTATAGTAAACGTAATGTCAAACATAATGTCAAAACGATATCGATTAATTTATTTATACAATAACATTTAATTTCTTATGTATTTTAATATATTGTTAATGTTAATTAAATTATATTTGCTTAAACATATAATAATAAAACTAAGATATAAAGTAATATAAGATATTTCACTTAACTTTTATCTGTTTAAAAGTTTTAAATTAAGTGTTTTAGTTTGAACACCATGGTAACTTCACTATCACTGCCATTTTAGTGCATTGTATGGGCAAAGCTTCATTTATGAATTTTATTAAAAAATTAATTAATTATATATTTATTATTATAATTATTTATAATTAATTATAATTATAAAAAATATTAAAAATACATTTTACAGTATTTTCAATAACGAGCTTTTCATTGATTTTTGTCTTTAGAAATAATTAAACATGTATTGAATTTTAATGTACACTTTTACCATGGTTCTATCACGACACTAGCCCTAGCGTGCATAGTTTAGGCGTAACGTTATATTTTGATTGACTAAAATATTATTAATAGATATTTATTATAAAATATTAAAAATTTACTTTTTCAAAATATTCAATAGTCAACTGTATTATTGATTCTTAAATTAATTTTTACAGACATTACAACTTCAATAATATTATGAATAATCTGTTGACTTTTGTTTCATTTTAAAAGTCAGTTTTATTTGATTAAATAAACATAATTTTCAATTTTATTTTATAACTTATAAATCATTCATATTGTAAATTTGGCTTGGCCAAACGCTATCGTAATTTATGTAAAAATAGGGTGACCAACATATAAGCACAACTATTGAATACTCATTTCTAATATTTTATAATTCATAAGTAATTAGAAATAAATTTTTATTTCTGGAAATTTCGAGAAAAAATTATTGTAAAACATTTTTAAACGATTTCTGTTTCCGTTTATTTCTATTGTCCACAAAATCGCATTTAAATTACAATACCATTACAAATTAGTGTAATTTGTATTGAGTACACATTTATTGCTATCATTTGTGTTAATTAATTGCTAATTTATATATTATTTGTGCCATTATTTGGTTTTATGTCTCTATTTGTACTGAAAAAATGATTCAATCAATGGTTTGTATTTTATTAAAATTTTGAACACTTTTTTGGGTAAATTGTTTGCCATTAATATCGACGAATCGATTGAAACAAATGATTTCGTGTTTTGCATTCAAAACGGCGTTTAAGTAATTAATTGTGATTAATTTTATTAATTATTTAATATTTATTATTTACACACGATTAAATTATTATTACATTTTGTTTATTATGCTTAAAAATGTTATTATTTGCTAAACAATTTGATTTTCTATTAAATTATTAATATATAAATTCATGTGATTTATTAAGGGAATTATCTGGTCACTCTAAAAAAAAATCGAGCGCGCTCGGTTTTTGGCCAAGCCAATTGTAAATATACTGTTTATTAATTATTGGAAGCAATGGGACTAATAATTGACAAAATTACACAAAAATACAATAATTTTATTGTAGAAAATAGTCAATTCTGTGGGACAGAGCATCATATAGAGAAGTTTTGTCAAAAACATTTCCTAATTGCTTCAAATACTACTGACTATATGAATGGTGTTTACATTAAGCGCAAACAATTGCCACTAATTATAGCGAGAATTGTGTTATTATTAGTGGGCGTCAGATATGGGGTCTCAGCGCTGGTCAACACCCGAGAGATGAGGGCTTTTATGTCGGATTCAAACTATAGTATAGGAAATGTACGGCTCATCTCAATCGGGTACAGTATATCGGCGTTTGAAGCACTATATATTGGTCTCGCAATGCAATACCTTGAAATAAAACGCAAACTTTATATATTTAATTATAATCATAATCTAGAGTCTCATACATTGGATCCGCCACTAAACGCATACCACAAACAAAAATTTATGTTTATTTTTAACTTATTTGTTAAATACTATTTTTATCAAACAACTTGGTTGCTAATGGCGTTGACAAATGCTATTCTCATGTATTCAACATTAAAGGCTTATTTTGACGAAACTTCTGGCACAATGATCTCGATCATTTTTGGTACATATTGCAATGCCGTTTGGTTAATACAATTCTGTTCAATGGTTAGCCTGTCATTCGGTATGTGGTATATAATCACTGCTCATCTCAAATATAAATTTAGAGAAATCAACACAAAGATTGAGATCTATGTTAAATATAATTGTCAGACATTACTTATGAAAGCGATTGAAAATCACGCATCGGTTGCGTTGATTGTCCATAATTTTAATAATCTATTTAAACATATATTATTTATGGTCTACTATTTCTGTACGCCAGCCATTGAAATGTTATTATATATTACGTTTGCGAAAGATACTGATATTGTGGCCAAATTTATCACCGGGATCATGTTTGCTCTAATGTTTGCGACGGTTTTTTCTTTAAATTATATGTCCACTCGGATTACGAAACCCTCGTATAAATCACTTCCCATTTTGTATTCATATATGAAATGCCGGAGTATTTCAGTGAGAAATCGTATCAAACTTTTGGCATTCATAGAGAGGTTGTGTTCACACTCGCGCCCGGATTTGAGGTTAGTTTAAAAAGATTTTATTTAATAATTTAATTAATAAAACATTTAAATGTTAAATAGAGAGGTTGTGTTCACACGATATCTGCTTTTATTGTCTAAACTTATTCCCAATGAGTTCTCTTGAGTTTGCATTTTATGTTTACGCCGTTATTAGTAATTATATTCTTATCATTCAATTTAATATAAATTAAATATTTTTGATTTGAAAAGCATGTTTATCTTATGAGTGCTCATCCTCTACCTCTCAAAAATACTTTCTTTCTTAATGTTGGCCACTGTATAAAACTGTGAATAAAACAGTGTAAACTGATACAGGGGCCAACATTAAGAAAGAAAGTATTTTTGAGAGGTAGAGGATCAGTACTTATGAGAATAAATTATTAATGTTTAAAATCTCTTTAAAATGTGTAACATAACTTTAAAATGTAAATTTTATTTTTATTAGTAATAAATTATTCATAACAATTTAATTAATTATTTAAATAAAAGTAAATTTCTAAACTAATTATTATAATAATAAAATAAAATATTTTGAAATTAAATTTATAATCTTTAAGTTTAAAATTAATTCTAAAATTGAATTTGATAAAATCTAAATCAGATTCTTGTAATGTTAACTAATACTTGTTTTGGAGTCAATAAAACGCTACCATTAAAATACTCCATCTGAAAGCATATAATAACATTTAAATGTTTTATTAATTAAATTATTAAATAAAATCTTTTTAAACTAACCTCAAATCCGGGCGCGAGTGTGAACTCAAACTTGTGTACAATCTTTGCGATACACATTCGCATCTCATTTAAAGCAAACCTCATACCAACGCACAGTCGAGGGCCGCCACCAAAGGGCAGGTATGCGTACGGATGATGTGTTGGGTTAAGAAACCGTTCGGGGTTGAATTGATCAGGGTCGGGAAAATGCTCGGGTAGTCGGTGAATTATATATGGGTGATGTTCAACAGTAGTTCCAGCCTCTATGGTTATGCCTTTGACAATAAACATGCTGATTATATATTTTAAATAAGTAATATAATTAAAACTTCATTCGATACCAGTATTTCCCAGTTTGTAATCCTGTTTGCATTCCCGTTGAATACTAATCAAAGGTGGGGCCAGTCGTAGGGTCTCATCGATGACTGCATTTAAATACTGGCATTGATTTAGGTTTTCATACGTGAAGTCTGTGTCCAAAGCGTTGAGTTCTTCCCTCAGAATCTGTTGTTTGTCTTTGTTTTGAGACAAATAATAGACGACATGAGAGAGCGAAGCGCTGGTCGTGTCGTAACCGGCGATGAAAAACAGTATTCCCNTGTCTTTGTTTTGAGACAAATAATAGACGACATGAGAGAGCGAAGCGCTGGTCGTGTCGTAACCGGCGATGAAAAACAGTATTCCCTGAGCCGTCATCTCATCCAAACTCAACGTCTGATTACGTGTCCTATTGTTTACGATTTCGCCCAATATTTTTAGATCCTCTTCAGTATAATCGTGTGAATCCATGTCTTTATCAGTGCTCTCGTTATCGATCATCAATTGTATAAAATCTGATCTCTTTTTCGCTATAAATAAAAAACAATTTACAAATAATTAAATAAATAATTAAAATAAAAATTATTATAATATTTACCAGAATTTGTTTTTGCAGCACTTTTTCTCTCCTCCACTATTTTCTCCGTGAGTTTTGCAAAATATTTAATAGCAGTTATATTGAAGGGCTCGACACTAAACATGCGGGCTATGGGTGGGGCCAGAATGGACAGGGCGTAGCTAAAACTCGAGTCCACAGACAATATCTTCTTAGCGTTGACAACAATGGGATGATTGGGATTATTAATGGACTCAACATTTATACCATAAGCGCAGGCACTGATCACATCCATTGCAAACGCGCCCAAGTATTTGCGCATATCTACTGTTTTGCCTAAAATCATGTAAATATAAATCATAATTAATTAATACTATTATTATTTATTATTAAAAGTATACCACTCGTGGCAAACGCGTCCAAATTAGTGACAAACTGGTCGGCAATGTCTGATATGCTGGCCATCATTGCCCGCAGTTTCCCCGACGTGAAGGAAGGGCTGACTATAGAGCGAACTCTTTTCCACTCGTCGTCGCCTTTCAAGAAAAACAACGCTTTCGAGAGTTGAGTGGTTCCCAGATTGAAGTCCAGGTGATCCGGGAATATGTGGAAATTTTTTACCGTAATGTCTTTGATTAGTTCCGGTTCGTTGATTATTAACCACGTGCTGGTAATACCGTAACCGCCGTATATGCGACCAAACCGGCGATATTTATCCTCATAAAATTTTGTTACATTTTGTAAAAAGCCTTCAAAATTGATCCTGTTGGTTCCCTTTACTCCCCTACGGGCCCAATAAGTAAACCGATACCGTAGTAATCTAGGTACAATTATTTATAAATGTATTAATATAATTTGCCGTATGCATTTTATGAACTTACAACCCAATTACGGTTATTAACGTTAGTATAATTAGTGTCACTGTATTTAATTCATACATTATTAATTTGTTTGAAAATTAAATAATATTTTTAACTGAAATATTTATACCATTTCTTGTTTATTATAATATTCTTGTTTAAATTATAACATTATCTAATCTATAAATAATTATCAGAATATTTATACTGATATTTTAAGACCAGTATCACCAAGGCCTCTTATAACACTATAACAACAATATTCACATACTAAAGACCCTAATTAATAATTTTGTTAAATCAAAAAATAAAATTAAAAATGTTACAAAATTATTAAAATTATTTCTCAAAAATAAATAAATTCAAAATTAACTTATTAAGAATTTACAGATCATAATTTTAATCAAAAGCTGTTTCATTCATATATCTATCTAAAATATTTAAATTATCCAAAGATATCATCTCACAATAACTTGGAGATGATTGTTTTTTAACCTTTAGTTTATAAATTATAATTAATATTGCGGTTATTACAAGTATTATAACAGTCAATAATATTATTGAAACGCTGGTTATGTATACAGTGTTGGATGTATTTTCTTGCATTTCATTCTTGATTAAATTAATCTGTGTTGTAGGTGTGAGATGGAAAGGTGTAGGACTTGTACGCATAGGAGTGGGACGTGTGGTCATTGGGGTCGGACGGGTAAGCTTAGGTGTGGGTCGGGTAGACATCGGTGGTGTGATAGTAAGCATAGGTGTAGGTCTGGTAGGCATAAGTATGGGGCGGGTAGACATCGGTGGTGGGTTAGTAAGCATAAGTGTAGGTCGAGTAGGCATAAGTATGGGACGGGTAGACTTCGGTGGTGGGTGGGTTGACAAATGTGTGGGACGTGTAAGTTTAGGTGTGGGATGTGTAGCATAAGTTTGGTATGTGTCAGAATAAGTGTGATAGGGGTAGAAATAATTGTGATACGGGTAGGAATAGGTGTGAGTCGGGTAGGCATAGGTGTGAGTCGGGTAAGCATAGGTGTGAGTCGGGTAAGCATAGGTGCGTGATGGATAGACATAGTTGTTAAACGGATAAGCATATGTGTCGTAAGTGGTCATAGGAATAGGATGTGTTTGCATAGGTGTTGGAATGGTGGGCATAAGTGTGGGGCGAGTGGACATAGGAATGGGATATGTTAGCATAGGTGTTGGAATGGTGGGCATAAGTGTGGGGCGGGTGGACATAGGAATGGGATGTGTTAGCATAGGTGTTGGACTGATAGGCATAAGTTTTGTTATAAGATAATTAACTGTTGAGTGACCAGATGTTATATTATTTGATTGCTTTGTTGATATTTTATTCTAAATAAATAATAATATTTTAATATAAAATTTAATAATAATTTGATATTAGAAATTAATTTTTACCTTGGTTTCATATTCTTCGTAATAATAATCAAAATCATCTTGGGCGCAAATAATACTTAACATGAATAAAATTAAATATTTCATTTTTAACAAAAATTTATTAATTGAATAATTTAATTTATTGAGGCATGTTCTGGATAAATATGAATTGAATGTTATGAAATAAAATTAAGTAAACTAAATGAATTGGATCGTAAATGTTAATGTAAAAGTTAATGTTTGCAATATATTATTATAAACAGGAAAACATTTGTTATCGTTGTGCAAATATTTTAATAATTAACAACTTCATAATAATTTTTATTAAAACATATAATGTGTAACTTGATGATATATATGTATTAATAAAATTAACTTATATTTTACAAAATAATGTAATTTTAAATATATATGAAATAGTATATGAAATTGTCTGTAAATGACCATGATGATGTTTATTCATAAATCTAACTATGGTTAAATGATTGTATACTATCTATAACATCAGCACCGGGTCGGGCGGCCGCCACCGACCGGTACTGCGATCTCATATTTTGCTCATTTTTATGCAATTTTCTCAATTACTATCACTTTTAAAAA